AAAGCACTAAAGTTTGGTGGATCACAGAGAGGATAATAGTGCAGCCGTGCCGGAAATGTGTGCAACCGGTCACACGCGCGCCAGCGTTCACCTGGCACCGCTCTCTCCGGGCCATTTTTAAGGATGTGTACGACATCGCGAACCAGAACAGATCAAGCTGTACCTTTCATCAGCAAGAAAGACCTTCAGCTCCTGATTTGTTTAGCCATAATGAGTTGCTCGAATATGCTCGATCGACGTTATGTTTTGTTATTTCGGCCGGTTAAAGATCAAGGTACCGAAATTGGTTGTCTGTATGGCATCTTAAATTTCGGAAATATCCACTTCCATCTTTTGGAAGGAGTAAAAACAATTCAGCAAATTGCACAGAAACATTATGCAACGTTTTTAAAAGACAAATATATCACACTTGACATTTTATTCGCTCAGGTGATTTGGGATGATAGCTCATGAAATGAAAAAGGAAAATAGCTCGATCTAGAACAAGCGATGCTCCCCTCTTCCCTCTTTATGGGATTTTTCTTTCAAAATAAGAAAGCAATCGTAAACATACCTACGTTAAAACAAAGCAGAGAATTTTGTCGCCTGTCGCATACGAGTTTTTTGCGTCGTATGGGGCATCAGGTTCCACAATTCTGAAATTGCACAGTAGTATTGAGCGGCATGTGGGTGAATCTATTGGAACGGAAAATGGCTTGCAAGCCTGATCTCTCCCCAAACGAGAAAATGCATTTGCATATGACAACCCAGTGTTGGCTTCCAATCTTAGTACCTTGGCCAGGACATACTGCACGCTTGGTTTGACAATAGAGACTTTCTATGCATTTCTGGGAAACGTTTAGCGCTAAATAACATGACTTCATCGTATCCATTAAAAATTTTGATAACATGAAATGGCTGTAGAACTTGAGGAACGTATGTCATTACATGTGCTTTTGTGTCGTTTTCAATTTTTTGCGTCATGTGCATGTGTTAAACCATTATGGTGTATTCTGTACGTGTGTTTTTTGTCTGATGGTTCAGCCGCTGTTTGTGAAAAGCGTCGCGAGCTAATATGAGATGTAGAAGTTGATCGACATATATTGATATCACATTTAGATAATATGTTAGGGGGAGAGAGAGAGAGAGAGAGAGAGAGAGAGAGAGAGAGAGAGAGAGAGAGAGAGAGAGAGAGAGAGAGAGAGAGAGAGAGAGAGAGAGAGAGAGAGAGAGAGAGAGAGAGAGAGAGAGAGAGAGAGAGAGAGAGAGAGAGAGAGAGAGGAGAGAGAGAGAGAGAGAGAGAGAGAGAGAGAGGAGGGGGTTATATAAATTAATGTCTGCCCGAAAATATCCCGTGACCAATAACTCCTGGCGCATAGAAGGACGGTTATTTTCAGCTCTCTCAGAACTCATAAGAACAGACCTATGCAAGAAATCAGCTGCACGTTGTAGGTGAAAATGTCGTAAACCACTAAGCGGTCTGAACACACGGGCCCCTCTCAGACCTCCGACCCTCGTTGAGCAGGTGTCTGGGCGTGCATTGAACTTGCCCCAGCCAGTCTTTCTCACCTGTACTTTTCTCACGGCGAACGTCGTCGCGGGTAAAAAGATCGTCTCTATGACGTCCAAACGGCGCGTCACGGGATCAGTTTGACTGCACCATCCGCCATTATGTCCTTCAATCACAGACCATCTGTGAGCCGACGAGCTGGCCGAGGAAGCGTGCGGGCTGGGCAGCTCACAGCGTCTGCAGAACTATCTCCATGCAGAGCCGTGAGCCGTGCAGAGCCATGAGTTGTGGGTCCCCCGGGAGAACTGCGTTCTGACGTATTTTCCGGCGTTGAGTGCAGGCCCGAATCGCGCGCCGACTTCGAGCGTGACGTCATTCATCTCTGTCATCCTGCAGACGCACTCTCAAGCAGAATGACGTCCGCGGGCTCTAGTGTGTTTATGATCGGAGCAGACTCGCGCGCCGTTCAACAGCTCTCCATTGAGGAATAACCACTTTTGATACCTGCGTAGGCTGGAACGCCCACCGGGTTGCCCGTTTCCCCCCCCCCCCCCCCCCCCCCGCCTCACCGGGTGGTGGCGGCGTTTGACCGGAGATATCAGTTACTAGGTCGACCAAGTCCTCACCGACCCCGATCATCGGACTCTTCGAGGGTGCCTCGTGATGAGACCACGATGGACGGAACCCAGCGGGCTTGATAGGTCTAGCTTCGCTACGTTAACTGTCGGTGATAAGTCCAGCCGCGCGCCGTCAACTCTCGGTGATAGGTTCAGCCACGTGCCGTCAGCTGTCGTTGATAGGTGTGCCTGACGTCATCGGAGACCGGCTGCGGCATAACGTTGTGCTGGTGAGAGCCGTCACAGGGCACGGAGCCCTTTTGTGGGGGGCGTGAACGCGATGTTGAGCTCTCTGATGGGGCGAACGCGGTAGTGACCTTCTGTGACGGCATGAACGCGGTAGTAAACCCTCTGTAATGGCGTAAACGCGGTAGTGACCGCCTGCGACGGCGTGAACGCGGTAGTGAGCCCTTTATGATGGTGTAAACGCGGTAATGACTCTCTATGGCGGTGTGAATGCGGCAGTGACCCTCTTTGGCCGTGTGAACGCGGTAGTGACCCTCTGTAATTGCGTGAACACGGCAGTGACCCTCTGTGACGGCGTCAACGCGGTAGTGACCGTCTGTGACGGCGTGAACACGGCAGTGAGCCCTTTGTGATGGCGTGAACGCGGCAGTGAGGAGCATCCGGTGCTAGAGCCGCGACGCTCAGCGACGAATGTAATTCTTGTAAAGGATGCAGCAAATAGAGCTAAGGTGCCAGTCTTCAATAAATTGCGATGTTTCCCTCTTGGAAACCAGCACTGCTGTGCTTCGCTTCCACGATCAGGGGAGTACTTGAGGCAGGTGTTCGGACTAAAGGATTTCGTATTTCATCGGCTAGAGTGGATTTTGTCGACTCTCGTCGGTGTCCGGGGCCGATGTCTGATGAGAACTGGAGGTGGATGTTATGCAGTCCACAGTGGCCTATATTCTATACGTATTCGTTATGTTTCGCCAAAACCTGGCAACAATCGCAACAATGCAGATTGTTTCCAAATTATATCTTTCTTTGACTGAAATTGCTAGGCCCGCACAGACCAACTGCTTACTAAGCTTCAAACAACGTGTTTCGTGGATGAGCGGGCGTTTTTGCATCACACCTGCCAAACAGCATCTAAACTACATCGAACTGAACCATTTGCGCGGCTTTGGTCCAAATGACTTAATCTTAATGGTGTCTGGTCCTACAAGCGCCCGTTTCCGTGTCATCTGTTCGATCATCCCCGATAGTTTCCACGAATGTCACGGCCCGTCCCGCGTGATCAGATGCACCTTACTGGTACTAACACGGAATGGCTTAAATGTCCTGCGGAGTACAGCTCGCGAACCGCAAAACGCAGCCACCTTCACCGAAATGTGTATTCAATTCATTCTGAACGCATTTCTAACACTTTCACTCATCCTGGGCTTAGGTGTTTCAAGGAACTCCATGTACGTTCTACAATCGGGGGAAAATCGCAGTGCTTGTAGACCACACTTCCGCCCTACAGCTCGTCATTATCCGCGCAGTTGGGCGGGTAACATGCAGCCGCTGTATACCCTTTATTCTCATATGTTTTATTGTTTCCGAGGGATGGCCCTAGGGATGGTCCTAAGTGTTGCAGACTGGAAATCTGAATGACTGTAACTTCAGAGCACACGGTTGTTCAAACTGCGACCAGAACCAGATGAGGCAAGAAATTAGGGCATTTTTATAGATGTGTGAGCCTCTATGAATTTTATAAGTTTCATGGGTATGGGCCCCGTCGATATGGCCTCATTGATGTCGGTCTCATTGATATGGGTCTAATCAGCCTAATCATTACTGATTTTGCGATTTAGATTTATATCAAACCTTGACATGCGCTCGGTCGGTTTCCGGACTGTGCATGAGTACGACTTACAATGAAACGAATGTGGAATAACTTCAATTCCTCAAAACATGGGCATTCGAACACGATATATCCTTATAACTAATAGCTGTTAGATCCCAATGTTATGTCTGCTGACAACATAGATCATGTATGGACCTTTCTCTGACTGTTAAACGTGTCCTCTGTCTTCGTACACAAATTAAGGCGCAGCCGTGACGGCCAGTCGAGTTCGTCGCCAATGGCAGGTGGCACAGGTCAACAAAAACGCAGCCGCCAAAAAAGCGGCTGTCCGGCCGGCTCAACATGGGACGGTTGGACACCCGGGACCGACCGGCTGTCTCCAGAGCTGACCGGTAACCTGACCGATGACCGGCTGGATGTCTCCAGAGCCGACCAGTGACCGGCCGACTGTCTCCAGAGCCGACCAGTGACCGGCCGACTGTCTCCAGAGCCGACCGTTGACCGGCCGGTTATCTCCTGAGCCGACCGGTGACCGGCCGGTTGTCTCCAGAGTCAACCGGTGACCGGCTGGCTGTCTTCAGAGCTGACCGGTGACCGACCGGCTGTATCCAGAGTCAACCGGTGACCAGCTGGCTGTCTCCAGAGCTGACCGTTGACCGGCCGGCTGTCTCCAGAGCCAACCGGTGACCGGCTGGCTGTCTCCAAAGCCGACCGGTGACCGGCCGGTTGTCTCCAGAGCCGACCGGTGACCGACCGGCTGTATCCAGAGTCAACCGGTGACCGGCTGGCTGTGTTCAGAGCTGACCGATGACCGGCCGGCTGTCTCCTGATCCGACCGGTGACCGGCCGGCTGTCTCCTGAGCCGACCGGTCACCGCCCGACTGTCTCCAGAGCCGACCAGTGACCGGCCGGCTGTCTCCTGAGCCAACCGGTGACCGGCCGGCTGTTTCCAGAGCTGACCGGTGACCGACCGGCAGGCTCTCGGTCGGTCGCCGGTCGGTCACCGGTCAGGTCGGTCGGTCGGTCGCCGGTCGGTCACCGGTCAGGTCGGTCGGTCGGTCGCCGTCGGGACCGTCAGCCGGCCGTCGGTCGGCCGCCGCCGCCGCCGCCGCCGCCGCCGCCGCCGTCGCCGCCGCCGCTCAGCTAGAAGAACCCGTCCTCGTCGGGGCCGGCATGACGCACGAAGCCCGGGTGGGAGCCGCGTCGACCCGGGTCGCCGGGCCGCGGCGCCAGACGGGTCACCTTATGCACCGGCGCCATTAGGCCGTGGCTGGGCGGGCACTCGAAGTACCTGCCGGACCGGCGGTCAGGTTAGATGCGTCTGTCCATCCTGTCATGCTCAGCGGGCAGGTGGCTGCTGGACGGATGCTGACGCCTCTGGCTGTTAAAGATCACCCAGCCGGCGAGTCAACATAGTACGGTGTGCCGTTGTCGGTGAGATAAACCGCAGGGGGGAGGGGGGGGGGGGCGTGATTACCGAGTGGTTGGCATCTACATCTTCCACGTACGGGCTCGGGTCCAAATTCCGGTGAAGCCAGTCCCTGAACGCTAATATGACCTTTGCAGCCGTCAGCGCTCCATATAAGAGTGCCCATTGACGTACGTCGTGTTGCCTTTTTTGAAGAGCTTAACCGTGGTGTGGTGAACGGCGCGTCCATCGCCCCTTCAAAACTGTCTCGTACGTTGGTTTCTCTCCCTACCGTGGCTGGTTTCAAATGTAAGAACATTTGCAAGGGAAAGCCTTAAAACCGCATGATTTCTTTCACAGAACGGTCTGGAAGCCAAAGACGGAAGTCTTACAGGCCACATTCTGTCCACGATGGAGGAGTGTCCCATTCATGCTATACCACGCCTCAATATAACTCGGGCTGAATTCATCTTGTATTTATAAACACAACTGCACCGACCATGGGCGCCAGCTACATTCAGTTTCGCGTCAGGGCAAAGTGGGCCTCATAAGATTTGTCAGTTTGCACCATGGCCGATTTCCTTGCCAGCTCCGCGACGCTGAAGCGTCTCGTATTGAACAGTATTGGATTTACACGTTCCGCCGGAGTTGCTGGAGGGTGCCAAACCGGTCCAAAGAAGCATCACAGCTGACGAACAGCTACATCCGCCGGTGGGCGAACTTCAGTTGTGCAGTGCCCATTGATACTGGCGACAAAGCCAGTCATTGGCCGACAGTTCTGGCGTGACGCTTTGCGGAGTCGTCGCGTCAGTAGCGGCTCAATACCGAATCATGAAGCACCGCGCCATTCAGTGCGCGCGAGCTGAAATTCCCACCAGATGATGGCTGCCGCGCCGTCACCTGGCTGCGGGGATGTCAGGCGCCGGGCGCGCACTGCGGCAGCGCCGGAGGCGGCCGGACTTGGGGTGAAGACCGCCGCCATGTAATGGCCGATTGAGGCGCCCCATCCCGCACCGATATCAGTTGGGATGGCCCGTGACTTTGTAAAAATGACTATCTGAATGGAATGACGTGCCTTTGAGTTTGATGTTAATGACACTTTGAGGTCGCTCTATGTAATAAATCAGCGCGAGCGAAATAGATTAAACTCACCGGCATGGCAACACGACATAGAAACACGTTCTCCAAAAAAAATATTTAAAAAGAGGGAAACATTCTTCACAGTGCTACAAACACCACCTTTCAGTTTTCAACCAAAGTATTTGCGTTGCTTGGGAAATTGCGTTCGTCACGGCGGTGGCAGATACGTTTGAAGCGCTGACAGCACACTTATTTGTGAAAACTCCATGCCACTCCCATCGCGGTTTTTTGAGCATTGGGAGATGGCGACGCATTGCGAGCAACACATACAAACACCTGCAACGACACCTAGCGACAATGGCCTTGCGTCATTACTGGCGGCGCCCGTCAGTTGCAGACGCGCCCGGCGGCCTGCTCCGGTGCGCGGGCACCCACGCGGCGTCGGCTCACCTGGTGCCGGCCACGCTGCCGTCGTTCCTGCCGCGGGCCTCATCCAGCTGGACGCCGGCCCACTGGCCGTCGGCGAAGCCGGTGGGACCCAGGAAGCGGAGCGTGCCGAGCCGGCGGCCAGCGCTGCTCGCCACCGCCACCCGGTCGCCGACACGCAACGCGGCGGCCGGTCGCTCCCCCTGCACCGGCGAGCCGCGGCCGCCGGCAGCGCCGACCACTGACGAGCGGTCCACACTGGTCAGGCGTGCACTCACAGATACACAGCGGGTCGGTGGGGCGTTAGGTGTGCACCCACAGATACACAGCGGGTCGGCGGAGCATTAGGTGTGCCCTCACAGATACAAAGCGGGTCGGTGGGCGTTAGGTGTACACTCGCAGATACACAGCGGCTCGGTGAGCCTTAGGTGTACACTCACAGATACACAGCGGCTCGGTGAGCGTTAGGTGTACACTCACAGATACACAGTGGGTCGGTGGGCGTTAGGTGTACCCTCACAGATACAAAGCGGGTCGATGGGGGCGTGCACTTGTTGTGCACTCCCATGTACACACAGATACACAGCGGGTCGGTGGAGCCTTAGGTGAACACTCACAGATACACAATGGGTCGGTTGGGCGTCAGGTGTACACTCACAGATACACAGCGAGTCGGTTGGGCGTTAGGTGTGCACTCAGATACACAACGGGTCGGCGGAGGCGTTAGATGTGCACTCACAGATACACAGCGGGTCCCTTGGGCGTTAGGTGTACACTCACAGATACACAGCGGGTCGGTTGGGCGTTAGGTGTGCACTCACAGATACACAGCGGGTCGATGGGGGCGTTAGGTGTGCACTCGCATATACAAAGCGGGTCGGTTGGGTGTTAGGTGTGCACTCATACACAGCGGGTCGGTGGAGCTTTAGGTGTGCACTCTCATGTACGCAGCGGGTCAGTGGGGGCGTTAGGTGCGCAATCGCAGATACACAGCGGGTCGGTGGGGCGTTAGGTGTACACTCACAGATACACAGCGGGTCGGCGGAGCCTTAGGTGTGCACTCACAGATACACAGCGGGTCGGTGGGGCGTTAGATGTACACTCACAGATACACAGCGGGTCGGCGGAGCCTTAGGTGTACACTCACAGATACACAGCGGGTCGGTTGGGCGTTAGGTGTACACTCACAGATACACAGCGGGGCGTTAGGTGAACACTCACATGTACACAGCGCAGCGGTAGGATTTCAGGCGTATGCACGAGAGATACGGGGCCTGGACGGAAAAGGCAGAGGAGATAAAAGCACAGAGAGAGAGAGAGAGGGGAGAGAGAGAGAGAGAGAGAGAGAGAGAGAGAGAGAGAGGAGAGAGAGAGAGAGAGAAAGAAAGAAAGAAAGAAAGAGAGAGAGAGAGAGAGAGAGAGAGAGAGAGAGAGAGAGAGAGAGGGAGAGAGAGAGAGAGAGAGAGAGAGAGAGAGGGAGAACACAGCATTATCGTTTCTTCTGAAGTGTTACCCAATGCCTGTTTATCAGAAAACTTGACCTGAAACACCTACGTTGCAGCCGAACAGGAATCGGCTAACAGCAGAGGCAGAATATTCATATTGACGTTATTTAGGAAGTGATCCCAAAACGGGGATCGCTTAATTATGCAGTTTGAACACGAAGAAGAATGCTGCCGATAATTCTTGGCGTATGGCTCGTGGCTCCTACTCAAAATGATGTTGCCAAATTAAAAGCATTTCGTTCACGCTTTCTAATCTTTAGTCAAATATGAAGTAGGTCGTGAGTGCACCACGGCCTTTTGATCGGCAGAGAGCTCAGGGCCGAAGCGTGACACTCCCGTAAATTACGCTTTTGCTTTGTTTTGACTTCTAAAATTACTTGTCACACATAGGATTAATAAGCAAGAGGTTATGGCCCATTGCGTTGCATATTACGCGGCATCGGTATGTCCGCTGCGATAACTCACGGCAATAGTCTCACCAAGGGCGTGGGTGCTGTCATTGTCGGAGCTAACTATGATAGATGCCCCAAATACCTCTCTCCGTACGGACTAATGACATTAAAGTCATCTTGTCATGGTGTAATTGGCGAGTATTTGACACAATCCGTTTAGAGGAGCAGTTACAAAAAGCAGTGATATATCACTTCACAATAACCCACTTTGAGTGCCTGTTCAGGATTCCCCATGCCTTCACGGCTGAAGGACAAATCTGCTGTGTGGGTGGTGTTAGTGGAGTGAGTAGAGCGAAGGATGTATTTTAGTTTCACTTCATCCAAAGCTCTATGCGGCAATCTACGTTCTATCAGAAACTTTTCCGAATCATTGTGCCGTAAACTGTGTCTAAACATGTTTATGTTGCTGCAAATGTGCTGAGCTCTTTAGTTTGTAAAATAATTTTAACCGATCATTCTCAACGCTCAACAACACTTGGAATTGGAAGGCCGCTGAATGTCATGAGCAATGTTATTCTTCCTCTGCATTCTCGCGATTTCTCCATTTTTGACAGCCCTGGAATTCGACGGACAGTGGCAATTCTGTGCCTGTCTGCTGGAAGGAAGATTATATAACAAATCCAATCAAGAAATAGACATCTATTTGTTGTCCAGAAGTTGCGCAGAGCGAACTCAAACGATCATGTATTTTACGCGATCTGGAGGTCGAGCCAGCCGAGATAATATCTCGCTTCTGAACGATCTACGAAGCTTGTGAGGCATCCGCAGCGTGCTGACTCAAGCCAGATCATGCCGGATTTGACAGGATTCATTTAAGCCACAGCTTTACCCGGTGCTCAGCATTCTCCAGCGTCTGATCCCATTCATTCGTCGCGAACAGACCAGCCAGCCGGAGAGGAGGGGGGGGGGGGGGGAGGTCGTCGGATCGGGGCAGCGCCAGCGCCTCCCCCACCCATCTGCCGGCTTACCGGAGGATTTTGCCTGATCAACGACAGGCGATCGATTTCCCATTCTGGGCTTCCGCGCACGCCGCAAGGCGAGCGCGGCCACAACACCCGCACAGTACCGACGGCCGGGGGCCGGCCACCGGGGCCCGACAGGATGGGACGGGGACCACGGCGGCGGGCGAGCGCCGGACACCGGGGCCCAACAGGATGGGACGGGGACCACGGCGGCGGGCGAGCGCCGGCTATCGGGGCCCGACAGGATGGGACGGGGACCACGGCGGCGGGCGAGCGCCGGACACCGGGGTCGGACAGGATGGGACGGGGACCACAGTGGCGGGCGACTTCGGACACCGGTGTCGGACAGGATGGGACGGGGACAAGGGAAGCGGACGAGCGTCGGACACCGGGGTCGGACAGGGTGGGACGAGGACAAGGGCGGCGGACGAGCGGAGGACACCGGGATCGGGCAGGATCGGACGGGGACAACGGCGGCGGACGAGCGGCGGACAAAGCAACGGCAGAGGCATTATACCGTGGTACAGAGACTGTGGCCCGCGGCGATCCAATCAGAACAAAGGGATAGAAAAACAGCACATAATGGGGAGGAGACAACTGCCAGCGTGTGAGCCGGTTTATCAGGCCCTTTTATTCTGTTCGAATAAGTATCTAACTATCTAAATTATATTATTATATTATTTTCGATATTCTTAGTTAGAGAAGTGCCTTGCACAATTTCCTCCTCACTGACACAATATTTTTCTTCACTCAGAAATGTTCTAGTTTCGGCCTAGCGCTGTCATGTGCTGCCATCTGGTGTCTTGCATTTTTGTGGTTCCTCATCTAAATGAAGGAGCTAAGTGGCCTAACTCCTAAAAAAAATTAGAGCTAGGGTAGGTGAACCCACATTTAGAATCACTTCTATCGTCGAGGTTTTCTTTTCTCAAAATTCCCTTCAAAAGACCTCGGGCCTAAATAGGCACAGGACCAAACACAGCGGCCGACAGCACAGCATCGGCACCGGGCAAGGACGCCATGGCAATAAGAGCAATGGCAATCGCCGGTTACTAAACACGCTAAGCAGCCGCTGACGGTCTCTGCTGCTCTGCGACAACAGAGCTGGGAGACCTGTACAGGCGTCATTACTACGCGGTGGTCATCCACCACGTCATCTCAAAAGAAAAAGTGAAATGTGAAGTCTCTCAAAGCCACCTTTGACGCCGCACCCATCACCGATTCTTCCCCAGTTTAAGTTAGATCACCTTCCCGTCCGCCCACGGCGGTTGCCAGGCGTTGGAGAACTTCTGCTGAGTCCCGTGCCACGTCCCGACCACCGCGGCCATCTGGGCTGGATTACTCGCCATCAGGCAACGTCATCATTTCCGCTGGCAAGCCGAGAGCTGGCTACTGTGTAACGAGGAGGAAGTCCTCTCCTGTTATCCTGGTTGGATTGGATAGTGTCCAGAAGATTGGATTCTGGATGGTCGTCATGTGTCCACAGCCGAAAAGCTGGGGGTTTACGGGAAATTGGTTAATGGTTTGCGGATGGTAAGGAGGCAAGGCTGCGCACAGAAGGTCGTTACACAGCTTAGACGAAAAGCATAAGAAAGCGGCGACCAGACTGCACGGAAAAGTGCTAGCAAAGTATGTGACCTACGGTTAACTTCCCAACAAACGAGCTTTCACAAAGGTGACGCTGTAATGTACGTCTGCAAAACTACAGTAGATATTGCTGGTAGCTATGGTTGCCCTCTTCCAACTCAACATATGGTACGTCTCTGGAGCGTTATGTAACCAATGACTCTGGCTTAACTCGACTATCGCGGCTGAGCCTTAAATGCATCGTCACTTACAGCTGCGTTTGGAACAGTCCGGCGGCGGCCCTCATTCAGCTGGGTCTCACGCTTCCGTCAGTTACCGCCGGAGCATTGCCTCTCACTTCTCTCCTGCTGGATTACGGCTGGAGCCGGACCTTCCGCCGCCTCATTGCCAGGAACCTCATTTATCGCCTCCCCCGCGGGGTCACTACCGGAGCCTCTCCTCCCCTTCTGCGACCGCCAGAGGCTCCCGTCCCCTGCTGTGACCGCCAGAGCCTCCCCTCCCCTGCTGTGACCGCCGGAGTCTCCCCTCCCCTTCTGCGACCGCCGGAGTCTCCCCTCCCCTGCTGTGACCGCCGAAGTCTCTCCTCCCCTTCTGCGACCGCCGGAGTCTCCCCTCCCCTGCTGTGATCGCCGGAGCCTCTCCTCCCTGCCGTGACCGCCAGAGCCTCACCTCCCCTGCCGTGACCGCCGGAGCCTCTCCTCCCTGCCGTGACTCCCGGAGCCTCTCCTCCCTGCCGTGACCCCCGGAGCCTCACCTCTCGCCGGGCTGCTGCGACTTGCTGCCGCCGCCGGCAGCTGCTTGGCTGGGGAGCTGCGGGACGTGCGCCGCGAGCCGCTCAGCGCGCGCTCGGCCGAGTCGGCGTCTCGCTCCGGCGTACCCAGCGACTCGCGAGTCAGCCGCGTCAGCCGCGAGAACACGCCGTGCTTAGGCTCACACTGGAAGTAGTGGTAGCCGGCCACCGTGCCGTCCGTCTTGCCTGCGGAGCAGCGGCGGCCTCGTTAGACGTCGGCGGGGGCATGCGTGCGACTGCACACCTCTTGGCCCTCAGGGGATCCGGTCTGCCCCCAAAAATTATATAGTGAAATGCGCAGAAAGTTGTGGGATGTCTTCTTCATGTGATATTTGTTTTGCCAGGATATTTTTTTGCCGAACCGATTGCGTATAATGTTGAGCTTAAATGTGGAACGTGGGAAGCAAGTACGTGACTGTAACTGCAGTTATGGCGGTAGATTAATGACGTCAGGCTCAGTGATACAACGCTGATCTCGTATGCCCAATTTCCTTATTCAGCATACTGTAGACAGATCTAGGCTGCTGTTTTCTGTTTTCCTTGGTATTTTTTTTAGCATTTTCCAGCTGATGAAACAAAATGAGATGCTGGCAAAAATGCAACTGATATTCATCAAATATACACGGCATAGATAAACTATGACAGTGATGCTTTTCCGACACCTGGTACCTGGTTGATACCCTCTGCCGTCTCCACAATGCCATGTTTTCCCTTTCCTCTATTCATATTGTGAAATGAGCCCGCACATTCTTCAGAGACATGCAATCTCCAGTAAGCATGCATCATCAGAGGGCCGCAAAGGGGTTCTCGACCTCCAGCGGGCCCCATTCCCGATGCGCGCGTGGCTCACACACCGCACGGCTCACACCACCGCATCGCAAGCTCGAGTCGGAGCGCGGATTGCACGCGCGTGGCCGGTGAGGTGGATCAGGCTTGCGCCCTGTCCACGTCCACCGCTGGCGCCCCGCGTCCGCCATGAGGTAGTGCCGGGCTCGGCGCAGTGTGAAGCCTGCCGCGTCGAGTGTTTGGCGCAAGCCGTCACCGGCCGCTCTGGACTGTCGAGAGGGATTCAGCCTTCTCCAGCATGGCGGAACTGGCGGCGCCGCTGCGGCGCCCCCCCCCCCCCCCCATCCCCCCGGCCAGCGTGGCGCGCCAAACACGCCACGCCCGTCAGCAGCGAAACGTTCTTCGGACCACACTGCTTCTGTCGTATTTACGTATCCGGGTCGCCGGGTGCGGCTAATGTATTTCGTGTTAAGGCCTTATTGGTTGGTTGTTTGCTAACCCAGCTGTAAGGCATTAGCTGCAAGATTAAATTCATAGCTTAATTAGTATATGAGCTTAGCTGGAGCCCTAGGTAAGTCTGTCCTATAAATCGCATGCGGTATTACGACCCCCGCCGGCAAATTGTAGCTCAGCCATCACATAATGTATATGGCTTAATTAAGGCTTTTGAGCTAAACACGTGGTGTATATCTTCCTAATTGATAGCACGGTCACATTTCTCAGAGTCAATCTGCAGACAAATTTCATTTCATAATAAGTTGAGAGGTGGTTGCGTAGGTACTGGCGATTTAGTTGCCTTTCGAAGCAGCACATCGAAGAGACAGATCAGCCTCCAATGTCTTAAATGGGGAGAATGATGCTCACTTGCTCAAATCAGTTTAACCACGCACCGAAGCTTGTTCAGGAGGATTTTACCGTCCCGACTGCAGGCCTCGGACAGTTTTCACGTAATTCGTCTCTCGCCTGTCGCCGGTCCAATATCGCACGTTGCCCGTCAGCACGGCAAGCCAGCTTCCCCGCGTGCCCGAGACACGCGGTCCTGCTCGATTACGCTCACCCCGATTGCCAGCTGCGCCGCGTCTGTCCTATTGCTTCGCGCACATCAATCGTTGGCGGCGGTCAGCCGGTCGTCGATCCATCTCCGGCTGACCGCCAAGGGCCGCCTGTCACCCACACCGCCGTCTGCTGCCGGCGACCGCGTCGCTCCGCAGGACCCGGCCGCCGCTGGCGCCGGCGAGCCATTCCCGCCCGGCAGCGACCGCCGTCCGACGCCGCGATCACCTGATCCGCGGGTCGCGTCAGAGGAGGAGATTGTTCGGCAGATGATCTGGGGACGGGCGTCGCGGATGGCCGAAGACTGGCCCGTCCAGCTCACCCGCCGCGAGCTGGGAGAGCGGCGGCTCGTCCAAGGACTGGCCCGTCCTCGCCAGCTGAGCGGGATGGCGTGACAGCCGGCTGTGACGTCCGGAGAGCCCACCAGCCGAGAACTGACCCTTACTCGCCAGCTGGGCGCATGACGCGACAGCTGGCTGTGACGTTAGGACAGCCCACCAGCCGAGGACTGACCCTTCCTCGCCAGCTGAGCGCATGACGCGACAGCTGGCTGTGACGTTAGGACAGCCCACCAGCCGAGGACTGACCCTTCCTCGTCAGCTGAGCGCATGACGCGACAGCTGGCTGTGACGTTAGGACAGCCCACCAGCCGAGGACTGACCCTTCCTCGCCAGCTGAGCGCATGACGCGACAGCTGGCTGTGACGTTAGGACAGCCCACCAGCCGAGGACTGACCCTTCCTCGCCAGCTGAGCGCATGACGTGACAGCTGGCTGTGACGTTAGGACAGCCCACCAGCCGAGGACTGACCCGTTCTCGTCAGCTGAGCGCATGACGCGACAGCTGGCTGTGACGTTAGGACAGCCCACCAGCCGAGGACTGACCCGTTCTCGACAGCTGAGCGCATGACGCGACAGCTGGCTGTGACGTTAGGACAGCCCACCAGCCGAGACCGACCCGTTCTCGCCAGCTGAGCGCATGACGCGACAGCTGGCTGTGACGTTAGGACAGCCCACCAGCCGAGGACTGACCCGCTCTCGTCAGCTGAGCGCATGACGCGACAGCTGGCTGTGACGTTAGGACAGCCCACCAGCCGAGGACCGACCCGCTCTCGTCAGCTGAGCGCATGACGCGACAGCTGGCTGTGACGTTAGGACAGCCCACCAGCCGAGGACCGACCCGTTCTCGCCAGCTGAGCGCATGACGCGACAGCTGGCTGTGACGTTAGGACAGCCCACCAGCCGAGGACTGACCCGCTCTCGTCAGCTGAGCGCATGACGCGACAGCTGGCTGTGACGTTAGGACAGCCCACCAGCCGAGGACCGACCTGTTCTCGCCAGGATGGCGCGACAGCCGGCGCCGGGATGGCGCGACAGCCGGCTGACGTCAAAAGAGCCGACAGGCCGCACCCCTGCACCGTCGCTCCGTGACTCGCTCGTGAAAACTGTCCCGCTCCTTCGTTTCTTCCGTCAAGGCTGTTGGGTGCCCGGGTGGTTGCATGTGGTAACAGGTAGGATGGGTGATTTTTTCTTTTTTACTTCTGATGCGGCTTGACCTGTCTCAGGCTTCCTCTGGCTTTGCGCTTTCGACATTTCTAAAGGTTTTCTGGCACGGAAAGCAAGCTGACGTAGTGCTGTTTCAGCTGATGGATTCAGAATAATCCCATCAGTTAATCAACTAACCACCCATTTCTGAGTACGGTACTAATGGCGAATTCAGTAGCGAGCTAACCGTGTCCAGATGTGCACAGCGCCACGTTAATAACCTTAATTAACCTCAATAGATATCTGGGCAAAATTTCAGGTTTTCATGGGCAGATTTGATCAGATTTCAGGGACAAGTGTGTGCGCACACTTGCCCTATTATAAATAGGAATGTTCGACGTTTGAATATATTAAAGCAAGCATTAGATATGATGGAATAGGCTCGCCTATAACTACCAAAATAGTTTTAGGTGGAAAAGACCGCTGCAGACAACACAATTACTTTACTTGGTTAATATTTTCCTCAATACGTCGTTGGTCGACAGTGTCATCGTGCTTTGCACAACATTGATTAAGAGACAATTGATGGCCGTGATACCTGGAAATCGTGCTCACGAGCACCACGCATGAATGATTCGACACTTATATCTTTCTTGCCGTTGATCGTTGCATGGACAATGGAATGAATGCGTTTGAAAGACGATATTATGGTGTCATGGATGCCTGGGTGATTTGAAGTAGTCTCCCTAAAAAGTCTGCACATCTTCGCAGGCGTGTGACTTAAAAACTACAAGGGTTTAGGTCTACAAAGCTGTGAGCTGCACCGAATCATCTTTAAGATGGTTATTTCAGTTCACGCTCCCATACAAATGGGGAACACTCCTTTTAAAGAAAATGTTTTACAGTTGGACATCTTTATATTTCCCTGTTCATTAGATCTCGAGAGCTAAGAAATCTAGATATACAAAATATACAGGTCGTGTTGACCTGTAAGTAAACTAAATTAGGTCAACGTTTGAGGTTCCTAGGTCATGACCTTCGGGTTAAATGAGGTTAAACATGGTCAAGTTCCAGGTTGGAATCTTAAGTGCCCCCAGAATGTAGATGATTATTTCTAAGCAAAAGGTCACATGCTCATTTAAGGTCAGTGACATTGTTTGACCTTTTGAAGGTCATGGTGACCAAAATCATACAAGACTGTTCTGAGTTTTGCATTTCCATAAGCGACAAAGATTATGCTAGGCAGCATGTTCCTGCAACAAAATGTTGACCTGGGTTCTTTTAGGTCAATGACCTATTGTAACCTTTAAGAAGTCTACGGAAGGTGTATAATGCGGTTCCCCCTATCAGTAAACTCGAAATGGGCACCAAAAGCTATCCCATACAGCAAGTCATAGAGCAATGAAACAGGCTGGTTTTGACACTGGTCTAACCTTCTTACATGACTTTAGGTCAACGTAATTTGTTCATTCAAGATCTGTGTACCTAAGAAAGCATCTCAGAGATGTATGGCTTCGTCTAGCACTCCGATGTTGCATCAGATTGAAAGATTCCCTAGAAATTGACTTCGCTGAAACCAAACCTTGACTTTGACCTGCCCTAGGTCAGCCACCTTACTCGGAACATCTAAATTTCTAATACCAAACGATCCGCTATTCAACTGGCTATGCAAAATTTGGCGCGGCTACGCCGCGCCGTTTGAAAACCATTCTGGAAAAACTTCGGGGGGGGGTCAATTTGGCCCCACCACCCCGCCCGAGCGCATGGTAGTGGCGTCATGGAAAGTTTGTATGACGTTTAGGTGCTACCAAGCCAGCTGTAGAGAACTGCCACCCCAGCACTCACCTGTAGTACTTCAATCTCC